TTAACTCCTTTGCAGAATGTGATGATTTAACTAGAAATCTTGCTTATGCACACACATTTAAGCAACCTGAAAACTACGGACTAACATATTCACCAATGTTTATAGTCCATCACAAGATTTCTGTAGACCATACACCACTGCACCTTATTTTTCCCCCATAACATCTTCAGTATGGTGCTTCAATCATTTTCTGGCTGAAAGAATCAATAAATTTTCTTTTTAATTCACTCCAGCTCTTGTTTCAACAATTAAAATTACTCGCTCTCCACTCACCAAATACATACCTTGCCAACAAAGCTCCAGGCTGAGATCACACCATCACCCTTAGCAATAAGACTAAGTTTTCAGAAGGCAAGTAGTTTTATACCTGCAAGACTGAATACCATAGTCGGAAACAGTTAAATGGAAGCACTGATTTTCATTACAGAAAAAAAAAATTGAGTTTTCACTGGGGATGGGAGAGAGGAATCACCCAACTGTCTTAATATTGCTAAAAGAAAGAGAATAGAACGCATAAAACAATGTACTATGGCAATCAAATATAATCTTTACTGTTCCTCTCCAGTCATCAATTCTTATTTCTGGCCACATTTTTTAGATTGCGTTCATCTTTTCCTATTCCCAAGTGCTCAACGCCTTAGTTTTTCCTTCCTTGTATTTTCCTTTTTACCACACTTTGTTATAGTTTCTTTTCTTTTGCTTCAGCAAAGCCTGATTGACTGCAGTTTCTATAGTCCATACAACCTGGCACATTTTATTTTCCTCAAAGGACATGCATTTCAAAAATCTGACTATTGTGCTTTAAAGCCTGGATTCCTATTTCTTTTTATATGTGATAAAGATATAGTCTACTTTTGATCTTAATTATTTGTAGTCTCACTAACAAGAAAGGCAAAATTACTTATTTAAGCTATGCAACCTCTCTACAAAGAACAAAAAAAAAGTCTTTTTTGTACACCTCGACTTCTCATTTACATTAAGTAGGTAAACTGCAAAAGAGATGTTAGTTGTACTCTCTATTCAGAGCTAACAAGAATAGAAGCAGCACAATAGTTAAGCTAGAAGAAAAAAGCACATTGTCATTTTATATTCACTTCTGCAATGTAAGCCTTTAAGCATGCACAGAAGTTCAGTTTTTGAACTGGAGTCAATATTAATCAATTGTTCTATTCTACCAAGCCAAAATGCCTTAAGAACATGTGACCATAAAATGAAATACTTTTCTTTCAAATCTTAAACAATATGCTTCTGTGAATTCTTTTGTAAGAAACACATCTGAATCAACTTCAGAAAAAGGATTACTTAATTGAGAATTTTCAAAAATTGCCACACTTTCAATACACAAAAGCCTAAAAATTCTTTGCAGGAAGCCTGTATTCGATGCACTCATCATTAGTAGAGGTACGTCCATAACGCACAATTTTTTCTTTGTTACGGAATAACAAGATAGATAAGTCAGCTAAAATGAAAATAAATAAGGAGAACACAGAATTGCAATCAGTGTATTACCTCGACAAAACATACCTAAAACTCTTCCCTGTACTCCCCCTTATCGAAGGGGGGCCAGTAAAAATCTCTCAATAAAACGTGAGTCTCCAAATGTAGCTGAAAAAACTGCACCTGCCAGAAGCAGAAAACTGTGGCAGTTTTGGCTAACATGATTGGTAGCTTTTTCAAAACAGCAATCACTATTGTCACCTGTCAATGAACAAGTAGTACAGTACAAAATCCAGAGATCAAGAGTAGCATTTAGCCCTGCTATTAAAAACTTAGGATGCTCATAATGGCTTCCTCCTCTAAAAGTAAGAGTTATTAAAATAGTAAAATCTGTGTGGGAATTCAAGGAAGGAGAAAAGTAGAGGCTAAAAAACCTTCAGCTTGGGTATAAGTCACAGAAGATAAAGGATGCAATCTGACCTTAAAAAATATGTTCTCCTGTTCCCCAAGTCCCTGCTATTTCTAGACCAGAACACACAGCAAACAGTCTTGTAATTCAGTAGTCCACTCCAGTATTTACTACTACAGCATGCTTAATAAACATTTTAGAAAGTGGAGGGGTAAAGGGAGACCACATCAAATACTGAATTCCACAGTGTATAAAGGAGACTATTTAGACTTGAAATTGATTCACGGGGGAAAAGATAATCACTTCCAAATTTTATCTTTTATAGAAAAACAAATTATACAGGAAACCACTTACTATTAGTGTCCAGCCAACTTTGACTTAAAATACATTAGGATCACTCAGTATATTGGAACACTAAGAGAATTTTTTCAAACATCACCAAATTTTACAGAATTGAGACGTTGCACAACATATAAGCAATCTTTCAGAAAGCAGAGGGCTGTAGTACATTGAACACAATTTGGAAAAATAGAATCTGCAAGGCCAGTCTACAAAAATAAATTATTTTAAAAGGACTACACCTTAATTGAAGAAATCCTAGAATATAACTTCAATGCTAGCTAAATCCTCACTCCTCTTCCTTAAAATCTTTTTTCTTAAAATCAATGTAAAAGAAACGTTATCTAATTGCATTTGTGATAAAGAAAAAATCCACTCCTCCACACTTTAAATTTTCTTTAATTCTGATGATTCCATCATGTAAATGTATTAGCTAAACATTTTCCTCCCAAAAAAATAAAACAAAAGTAAACTAAGTACTGGACCCACATCACCTCAAGTTTTAGACAACAAAGACAGCTGAGGAAAAAAAAAAGCAGTAAAAATGTCAAAACTGTTAAAAACAATCTACAAATTATAATATATATTAAAATGTAACAAGTTGGAATTACTTTTCCTTTCCAAACCAACAGGCTCAGGGAATCAGTATTTTTATCCAACTGCAAGACACGCAAACTCATAAGGTACTGCCAAAACCAGTCTATCTGCCTTTTTGTGGTAGATCGCCATCTAGGTCGTTCTTAAAAACGGAACTGGGTCCTCAACCTATACAACTGTTACGTACCAAAAAACATTGAAGTTCTGGCTTCTTAAATTTAACACATTGTGATGCTATAATCAATAATGTAACTGGGAGACAAGGATCTGAATTTTATCTTGGAATACAAACAAAGGTGTGTGAATGGGTATGCTTCTGTCTCAGATAAGGAAATGAAGATCAGAATTCATATGCACGACATCTCTGATGAATAAGGAAACATTTTTATAGGCTTTTGGAGCAGATGCCCTGTAAGAATATAAACTCATGCCTCCTCTTAAACGAGATATGGGAACACTTTGGTATTGAGATAACATTTACTAACCTCTCAGTGAAATTTCTGCCCTGCAACGTGCATACTAACACTACTCACTCATCAGTAACTCCACCACGCAAACCACTTGCATCACATTGGCTGTCTCCTAACCTCCCCAGTAAGAACATTTTCCCAGTTTTACTTCTCTTCAGGTTTTTAAGATTTCTGGAATAGCAAGTTTATTAAAGTGTTTATTCAAATTCAAAATCCATATAAATATTCTAGGAAGAAGGAAAGAGGATACGCAGTATCAGATTCCAGTGCTCTTTGTGAGTAAGGCTAACATCAGCAGAGTGCATACTGAGATGAGATTAAGTTTACATGGAAGGGTGAGGAGAAAGGTAAATTATTTATCTCGTGCTCAAATATGCCTTATTTACTTGACACAATACACTTCCAAATTACCTTTAAACTGCATTTCAAATCATCAGGCTTAAATATACTAACTAGTTGTACAATAGAAAATGAGATAAAGTAAACCTTCTTTTGGATTAGCCATAATGAACTAATACGCTATGAAGAAGCCACTGGTGAATAGGGATTATGGACAAGGATACTAAAGAGACCCCTTCATCCACAATTACTGTATGTGAAGTCCCATCTGTAACTAAACTCTGGAATGTTTTTCTACTTAAAATGACCTGCATGCAAAGTGCTTTGCAGTTGTCAAAAGGCATGCTATTTTAAAGTCTCCTAATTCACTGGTAAGTGACACTTAGTACAAAAAAAAATTCTAAAAAGCTTTTAGTCAAATCTGGACATACTGGTCTCTGCAATTATTATTTGCTGCAATGCTTATAATTTAATCTTAAATTGATTTTTGAAGAGATGTTTCATATCAACATTTCTTCTTTCAGCACGTCAGTCATTACTGAGCAACTGAGTCACTAGGAGGGTCTTATTACCTATCAACTCTCACCTATGAGCAATTCTCACTTTACTGAAATATGTTAAAGTGCATAAAGGATTTTCCTCAGAGTTATTTCACTTATATTTCAACTTGCATGATCAGTACTCATGGCCTTATTAATAAAGACTGGGTCTCAAAGAATCTGGTACAACTTGGGTGTCTATTGCAGAAGAGAATTGCAATTGTGACTGATTATATACAGCGCTAGAATTGCACATTTCAAAGTTATAAACTCTAAGCACTTATCTCAGGATTGTTGAGGACCACTGATAGAAGTACTTTACTTTCCCAAACAAGCAAGGTCAATTCTTAAAAAACACAAAGTAAGCTGTTTAGAATTCAAATAACAGGTAACAACTAGAGGTAAATAAATTAAAAATACAATGTATTCATTTGTTTAATTATAAATAGCTCTAATACATTTTTTACTATTGTAACTTCCAACTACATCTCTTACACCTTCTAGCAAAGACCGGATCTGGCAATACAGCCTATTAAATGTATAAAAAGCCAAAAATGCCAGGTAACTTTTAATAAGCACTACCATAAATATCTCCCAGATTACACCTGAAGATATTTACAAATAAGAGAATAAGTGTCAAAGTAGGGAAAAAAGGAAAAAATAAACAGAAAAAGTTCACTGAAATATCTACACAGTGATTTCTTCACAGTAACTTAACATAACTCTGGCTAACCACATACAGCTGACGCTACTGAGGAGAAAAACCTAATATTTTCTGAAGTGCGGTTGGTAAACTACAGTGGCAAAAAGCAAGTTTCCAGGTCATGGTACTTGAGAGAAGGTCAGCGCCTGTTTGAAAGAAATTATCTTATAGAAAAGAAAAACTGTGAAACAATTACACAGTTGAAATATTACAATTAGTTTAAGGTTGGCAGGTTCCACTGGAACAAACTCTTCCTAGCTAATCTTAATATCTCCCAAGAACCTTTAATGATATCTTGAAAGAAACTAAAGAAGTGCAAACTGACTGCAAAGGGACACAAATGGAAAAACTAAGTGTGTCATACATTTTCAGGCAGCTATAGTTGCCTAACTACACCTCAAGTCTTAAGTTCTGAATTGCAGTAAATGTATTCTGACAGACTCTCCTGTGAAATTTAAGTCAAGTAGCTTTTTAAAATTGATTTTGCCATGGAAATTTTTGTCTGCAAGTCTAGTGCTCCTCCAGAAACAGAAGCAGTGCTAACAGTCCACGAAGCCTACAGCAAAAGTAAGCGAGGTATGATGCTGAGGTCACTGCAATTTCAGAAGCTTTTCAGCCCTTTACATGACTTCTTTCCAAAATGGTAGCAACCTGAAGATTTCTTCTGCCAAGTCTATAGTATCTCCAAATCCACATGACGAACATCAGGATTTCGTTGCTGAAATAAAAAAAAAAAAAATACATTTTTATTGAAAATATTCAAACGCATTTTTGCGCACGGATACAAGTAATGTATTTCTGGTATGATATGGGCAACTGGATAACAAATCCCCTTTTCTGGTAAGATAGGGCCTATTTTAACATAGGGACTATTTTAAAATGAGGAATAGCTTCAAACAACATTGTCCGTACTATAAGCAATTTTTTGAAGACTAAGTCATCTTTTTACTTGACAAATACTTTACAACCTCACAGATAAATTAGTTCTTATGCTTCATAAAGCATGAAGCAGCTCTCTTGATTTTAAAAAGGCAGTTAGCTTTTTATATAAAACTGTCCAAATAAGCATATATATCTCTCACTTTAAGAAAGTTTTAACAGATACTTTCCTGAATAATGGATAAGATTGCTGAAATAATTTGTTCTATGTCAGTGAAGCTATTTATAAAGATTCAAAATACTGTATCTACTAAGAAATACGCATCTTCTGATATTGTAGAAATATGTTATCATCATTACATGGATTGTATAATCCATGAGAGGTTTACTGAAAGTCACCGACTTCAAAGTCATCCAGCATGTGAATCTGACTAGCATATTTAGTAAAGCATATTCAACAGCAACACAATCACTGAAATCCCTGCTTATACCAAAAAACACTATTCATGTTTATAAAATAGCTACTCATGATTCTACTCCTCAAAAACCATTGAGAACTGGGTCTGCCGGTGCAATTAAATTCAAAAATAATATTTTGATTTCTAAACAGCACCACCGTAGGGATAGAAACTAAAACCTTTATCAAATATAATAAGCAAGGACAGGCATGCTGTTGAGCAGTGTCTTCTCCTGATGACCACAAAAGGCAGTCATGACAGGACTGTATTTGTCTGGCAGTCAGTATACTTATCATTCTGTATTCATGCCAAAAAAAGTAAGATTAACAGGCGCAATATAATTATAAAATTAAAAATGGAAACAATCTTTTGTTGCATCAACCGAATGATATTAAATTGCAGAATGAAAAAAAGCCAACTTATGACAGGCTTTTAAAAGAAGTAAGCACTGTCCTGCTTCAACAAGAGCAAAAATGTTGAGTAAAGTCCTCATCACATGCTGATATATTTGATACAATGCTAAGTATCATATTTTAACAAAAATAAAAAAATAAAATTGAAAATTAATTCTTTACAACCACAACAGAATTCATTCTGAGAATACAACAACAAAGACACAATCAGGTCTCATTTCATGAAAATATTGTTCTACAGTGGTATAAGATTGAATAAAAGACATAACAAATAGATCAACAGCAAAGTAAGGGTTCACTGCTGGTCACAACTTAATTAATGATACTTTAGCAAGAAAATTTGCATTAAGATTATCAACGTCTTCCCCTCTCCCATATTTATAAACAAAAACCCCCAAAGTAGGTGCAGTGATATTGTTTAAAATACATCACAGAATAAGCACTCCATAATAAGCAACTAAATTTTACCTTCAGGTCCTTCTCAAGTCTGTCTACTTCAGCTCCCAGTGTGTCAATGATATTCTCACCATGCTTAAGCATGAAGGCTTCTAATTCTTCAAGGGTTTTCACTTGTTGAATTTCCTAGGAAGAAATCAAATTTAAGAGGCTGAGATGAGGAAAAGAAAAGAATAATAGAGGTCCTGACATATTTCAGGGGGTGGGAGTGGGGAGAAACCCAAACAAACAAAAAAGCCCAAACACTTTTCTGCTTTTGCCATTTCTGTTCAAACCATCATCTGTTCTTATGTCTCACAGACACAGAAGCATAGCATCTATTCAATGAAAACAGCTGGCTTACCATTACACCTGCACTTGATACAAAACCTTCTATCTTTAATGGATTTCCTCCTTTATTTTCCAAGTAAGTTTAGAGTATTTCATTCATTTTCTAGAAGTTTCTGGGGTATCCCTTGCTCACAGCAAGGCAGGGCAGGGCACCCCTGTGTATTCTTTTTTCATTTTCATACAAACTTGCTATTCCATTACACTGCTTATTCTGGGCATCATATTACCAACTCATCCAAAAATCCACAAGAATTACTATGAATGCTGCCCAGGCCCTAGTCAGCCCAGAAATGGCTCTATTTCAGCAGCATAATAGGATTCTGTGTACAGGTATTTAACATACTAAAACAAAACCTCTGCAATCCTTCAAAATGAAAAAATGGGATGTATCTCACCTACTTGAAAATCTTGGGTTTAGACATACTTGAAATTGTGAAGTAAATATCAAATACTAGAAGTTACAAAATCATTTTTTTAAACATACTTGTAGCAGCTGTTCAATGTCTTGTTTTTCCAGGTAAGAACGAGTAACAACCCGTCCATCAAAGTCTACTTCTGCCTTGAATCTCACTTTGCTCATTCCCATGTCTGTGGCTTTAACATCATGAATTGCTCTGAAACAGATAATTTTTAAAGAAAATGTAGAACAACATAAAAAAAACCCTACTAGCTAGTTTGACTTCTGATGTTAACAATATTGTCACAGTAAAACAATCCTGTAAATTTAAAAGGCCACTGCCTTTGACTAACATATCCTCATTTTACCACCACATACTTCCATTAAATACTGATTTATATTCAACCGGTTATACCACTTCCACAGCTATCCAAAGCAAAACAAGTATCTGAGGACAATTATAAAATATTCCACAGACTTTGGTTTTATTAACAGAAAAATGCAATCTTGACAATTTTTAAGTTCTAACACAAAATTTAGATTCAGCAATAAAGCTCGCTTGATGGAAAGTACTCAACTTTTTGTCCCCGTTCATTTTACTAAGTTGTGCAATTTCACAGCATCTTTAAATTTAGCATGCCCTTTGTCTTAAGCACATTTACTCCTCCCAACTAGAAATGTTTTTTTTCTCATCTGAATGTTTATAAATCAGAACTAACTTCACAGGCAGTGCAGGAAGAAAAGCAGCAGGCATATATTTTGGAAGCAGCCTGCTAAGAGCAAACAGCCAAAGAACAGGAGGCAGAAATTTAAGATGAACAGTCACAAGAAACATTTATAGAATATTTCTTGTAATACTGTGGGTGGAGGAGGGGTAAGTACATTAAAAAAGAAATAGAACATGAACTAAATATAGACACACCAAAAAATACATCTTAGTAAACATTTAAGCAGATTAAAAGAACTATCAGCTTACTGGGAGCAATAAAGAATTTCTAGCTCCAATCAAATTTACACAGCTATTCTGTGTGAAGCTACCAAATCAAAACAGTATTAACTGCAGTAACCTAACTGGCATCAAGCTACCTCCTCACACAAGAGGGTATTTAAGATAACAGATGTGGTTCAATGAGGGTTATTGAAGAGAATTTGAATCCATGTGATTCAAAAAAGCTGAAGATATATCAAGTGCCTATCAGAGCTAAGCAAAAAGATAACAAGAGATATTTGAGATTCTCATTAAGCAGTAACTTGATAAAATTCAGTGGAATTATGCATATTCTGTAAATGTGAAGAAAAGAAAAAGTCTACCTTACTGCTTATAATCCGTCCAGGAAAGATAAGACAGTGAGCCGGGGTGGGGGGGAAATCACTAATAATTCAAAAATACAAATGTGTAGGCTAAAACTTAAGCTACAAAGCTTGCTTATGGAAGCTTCTGGATGGCTAGTACACACCATCAGTTCAAACTAGGGAAAAGAGCAAGCTTTACAAAGTTTTAAAGAAAAATTTGTCACAGGATGTCAAGTTACTGGTTTAGAGCCATCAGTTGTAATACCTTCTTTTCCCTCCAAACTAGAATGACAGATTTTCCAGCAGAACAATAGCAATTACCCAATAGCTGTTACAATGAAGTAAAAATTAAAGATGAAACTGTCACTAAGAATAGTTTATGCCTAGGGATCTGTGATTACATTCCATAAGAACAGAATCAGGACAGTCTGTACCACATCATATATTTTATTTCACAGTTCTGAAAGCCTAATCTACACTTCAGTGAAGCTGAACACAAGAAAAATTTAGGCACCAAAAGGTGTGAATGACAGTTCAGAATGGACTGTTTGTATAGCAAAAAATAAAATCAAATAATTTACCAGCTGAGAACAACTTCGACTGAAAGCCTATTCTGGATCACAAATTGAAGAAGTGCTACAACTAGAAATTACCAAGCAAAATTAAAAGAAAGGGGAAATAAATAGCCATAACCCTAAAAAAGAAATTATGAAGTCCAGCAAACTGATAGGAGAAGCATTAAAAAAAATGTTGATTTTTAAGTACAGCAAAACCAGAGGATAACCTGGAAACAAGCCTGCTACTAGATGAAAATGGTGACATTGTTAGGCAGAAACATGCAACAATCACTGTTTTCTTGATCTAAAAAAGCAAAACAATATATTGGTACAGCAAAGCATTTCCCTATTAGTAATAGGGAAGCACACTGAATATTTAAAAGGAAAAAAATGCTTCTAATTCAGCAGGCTCCATAACTTGCATTCAAGAGTAAAAAGAACTAAGAATAACTGCGAAGGCAAATTAATTTTTCATTTTGCAATACTGACAAGAATTTTTTTTAAAAAGAGTAGATTAACAACACTGTGCCAAAATTTACGAACAGCAAATGAGGCAATCCATTTTACTAAAGACAACTTCATCTGACAACCTAAAGAAAAACAGTGAAAAAGGTGTGTGTGGGAGGAAATTATGTATTAAGAGAGCATTAATTCCAGCCATTAAGGTTTTAGGGAATGTAGGTCTTGTCAAACAACCCTGTAAAAACAAACAAACAACAAAAAAATCAAGATTCAGCTGAAAAAAAGAAAAAAGAATCCACAACAGGAGATTATTTATTTTATGAATACAGCAGTTAGTATTGTCTGATAAATCAAATATTTTATAAATAGCAGCGGAACAAGATGTTGAGGCAAGCTACTGCTGGAATACTAAGTTAAGTGGTGCTGGTGCCGACGGAGGCAGAGGGGAGCAGAAACCAGATCCTGTGGATCCTTTAGTCAATTTAGATCTAAAATACCTTCTGATGAATACTAAACGATTCCCTAATACATCCCCCCTTCATATATGGCAGAATACATCTGAAAATACAGATTGCAAACCCTCCCTGAAAGAATAAGGGAGGAATGTTCTGGGAAACAGCAACTGCAAAAAGAATTGCATTGAGAATTCAGATACAGTTTGATAGTTGAAAACCCTGAAAGGTTGAAATAAAAAGAGCAAATATTAGTCACAGCTTTAGAAGCAGACCAGTACTCAGCACACTAAGTTGGTGTCAGTAGGGGAAAAAAAAAAAAAAAAAAAAAAAAAAAAAAGAGTAGGACATACTACTCCACAACTCCGTTTAAGAAAATGTGAGAGTTTGAATGTTCAAGAAAATGCTGAAACTCTTACAAGCCCAAAGCTACGTTGATGAAAACATACAAGTAGCCTTTTGAAGAAATACTTGGTACTACAAGACTTCTTCATTTCACAGGAAAGTTGAAAACAAACAAACCAACCAACAAAAAAACGTAACTGACCAAAGGTTGGAATAAGAAAAAAAAAATTAGAGTAGCTTTTTTCCCAAATTACACCTAGTTACAAGCAAGGGTAATATATATTTACATCTCAGAATTCTGAGATAAAGACCAGGTGTTTTATTAGAAGATGCAAGTTAACCAAGTTCAAGATATTAGGCTTGTTACAAGAAAAACTTGGTCAAAGGCAAAGTGTGCACTAAAAGAAATCAAAGCAGATAATGTAATGGATCTAAGAAAGAGATCACTCAAGACAAAGTGCATACAGAAGGTCCTGCAAACAGTGCAAAGACAAGTACCTAAACATGTTTCAGCTTCTAACCTAAGAGAAACATGCAGTTTCTTACCAAGTCCTCACTTTTTTTATTCTTCGTACAGCAAGAAGGAGATAACTAAGTCTGCTCTGTTAAGAGGTTACAGCCATCTACAAAATGGAATAAAATATAAAATGGTGCTGGGATAAGAGAGATTTTCCAATTCCAGCCTGAGCCAAGCAAAAGTCACCTGTGCATTTTGGAAAAAAGAACTACAGAAGTCGTGTACAAATAACCATGTGAACTCACCTACTCTAAGAGTACTGCTGACGCATGCTCCACCATTCAGACTAATCCAGGGCCACCACAAATACTTTAACAGAGTTTAGTTATTGACATACGAAAATTGTAACACAATTCTATTCAAAAATAGGAATCTTGTTTAGGATCTGGAATGAAAGGCATGCCATTCAGACCTGTTGCTTGCAACTGAGATGACACAGCACTTAGTTAATACCAGAATACTTGAAAGAAACTAATGGGCTTGGGTTTTTTCCCCTCCAGAGCTCAGTAATGGCTAAGAATTAAAAAAAAAGCACTAAAATATTCCAGATGATTTACACAGAAATATATTCCTGAATAAAGATTAAGAAAAAAACAAAAAGGGTTTTGCTTCTAAATCAAGGTTAATAGGGTTAAAGTAAGCTAAAATAGCTCCTTAAAAAGCATTTAAATGAGATTTCAGAATTACAATGAGCTGTAAGTTTATTTCACTACAAATTGCAGATTTCCAAAGAAAGAGAAATTAGTACTGAGTTCATTCTGTAAGCATCTAACATGCAGAATCCACTACATCACAATAATACTGCAGCACTTCACTGCTACAGAATTCCAGACACTGAATATTAACAGTAACAGAATTTAAATATTTAAGTGCTAATAAACTATAAAAGCAACATTACAGTATCATTTAAGTGTTTGCATTTCATGCATTTGAAAATAGTTTTAAGTTTGTGATGGCTTTCTCATTAAATCATTGTCAACTTCTGTAATTAATGTAACTGTTAGAACATACTTGCAATTTTATATCAGCCATGGAACATCTGAGAAGTACAAGTATTCACTTATTGACATTTTTAGCACAGAAATAGAAGTTAGTAGTAATTAAGATTCTAAAAATCTCAATACAGAAGAATCTACCCTAAAAATAATCAATCTCACCAGATTTCTCTCATTTCAAGTGCTTGAACTATTTTTTTTCCAAATGTTATTTTCTTGCTTTTCGTTGTTCTTAGAAGAGAGTGAGCTGTAAAGATTCCTACCTCACTACAGGATCACTTTCCAGTAACTCAGTGAGTCGCTGCAGTTGTTCAGGTTGAATGGATCGTCCCAGCAAGGCTTCAGTGTTAGTGTAGATTAGAAATGCTGAAACAGTTCCTAACAAAGTTCCAACACCTAGAGACCCCACACTGTCATAATAAGGGTTTCCTAAACAAAACATGTCAAATTAGTTTCGCAGAGCATTTCTAAAACATAGCAGATAATTCAGATTTCACACTGAAATGAGTACATAGTTTTAAGGGGTTGTTTTTGGTGGTATTATTTTGATTTTGTGGGTTTTTTAAAGGCACTGGCAATTCTCTTCTACTGAGGAACAAGATGAAGCTGGAAGAAAACAAGTTATCTTAAGATAAAGTCTCAAGTCCCTCCTGTCCCTCAGCCACTCCTGTCTCCTGCAGGACTAATAAATGAGTAGACTCTTGTCAGCTATTTGGGTTTCTGTGTATAGATGTACCTTTACTAATACAAAGTTATATACACCTAAACACAGGTAGAAGCACAAAAGTCTGTGTTCTTTTAATAGTAACTCAAAAACTCACAAGTATTAGCGATTTCTGGAATACAGTACTTGTCAGTTTTAAACACGTATTCATTTTCAGATTTGTAGAAACAGTAACGTAAGTTTATGAAGGAAACTAGAGATGGAGTAAAAAACTGACTTCTATATAAAAAAAATGAAACTTGCAAGTAACTCATTAGAAGCTACAAAGAAACAAAATTACAATTTATATTTTTAGAAACAACTGAAAAGCCAAAGCCAATACTTAAAAAGAGACAAATAATCAATCTTCCCTCTTTAGAAGACTTAACTGTGCAGCAAAGACAGACTTTGAATCAGTTGCCCTACAGATTATCCTACCTGCGTGAGTTAGGTTTGCCACACTGTTCAGAGCAGCTATTGTAATCTGAAGATAACACTAACGCCACTACATCTCAAAAGGAAAGAACTGCTTCCTTAATTCCTCCCCACATGCACATGGAGCTGCACATCACTGAATAAGGAAGCTCAAATTATGTAATCCTACCATGGCACAAAGTGATTTACATCAGTGACTACAATAAATATACCTTTAGTAAAAAATACCTTAGTTCGTACAACAAAATAACTCAAAAGAAAGTTAAACCCATCTGCATGTACTCTTTCAAGCTTAACCCCACCAATAATAATAGACATATAAAAAACTTCAAACTTTTATTTTAAATATTTTCAACTCAAACTACTAGAAATAAGATCAGAGAACAGTATAAGCCTCCAGAACCTTACACAGTACGAGTATCAGAAAAATAGTAGAGATGTATTTAAGTCAACCAATATAAACTAAATGGTCTGTGTTCATATCATGCACGGGAGGAAATTCATATCTGCTTGCCTCAGTTTGAAGCAGAATTTTACCTGTTAAAGAAGTCAGACCCATACAGGTAGCAGCTACAGCCACACTCAGAACTGCTGCAGCATCCTCCAGTAACACCACGTTTGTACTAGGATCACGACTCTGCACGACTACGTATACAACAAAAAAATTACATTGCTTTCAAAAGCTTAATTACATTATGCACAGTACTTAAACTATACTTACACCAGCAACTTAAGAGAAAAATTTCCATAAGTATGTAGGTGTAAACTGAATTTTTGCATATGCACACACTTCTGAAAGCATTCATAAATACACAGAACAAGCCCTGCGCCAATTATAAAAGCTTCTCCAAAATGTTTAAAAAAATTGAAGGGGCATTTATCCTGAGAAATGCAAGTAGTTTAGCAAAAGTATCTAAGTAGAGTTACTGAAATCAACAGGTTTTCACGTAATTTGTAAAATATATTTGTTACTAGAATGGAGAACAGATCAATAAAGCAAGGGGAAAGGGAAAACAGACTTGTTTCTATCATTATGCAAATACACATAATTCAATTCTGTTTTAAATAACCACATACCTTACTGCTATAACAACACGTACCATATTGATAAAATGACAGACCCTTGGCTCGAGCACTCCTGCGAATTTCATTTATAGCAACAAGAAGGGTAGCTGAAACAACACCAAAGTAGCTGCTGAAAATGGTTAGAGGCAAAAAGACTTGTTTCCATTTTGAAGAGAGGGAACTTTTCTTTCTATCATAGCAACAGATCCTCAAGAAAGCTCTGATTATTGATACTCTGAATAATGATAAAGTTACCTTCTTTCCTACATGTGTCTCCCATACAAACTGGAATAATTACATTCACTGATAGTTTAATACCAAAAAGGCACTCTATGTATACTTTCCAAATTATGTGTTCTCCAACTCATTACATAGATAAGAAAAAAGGTTTTCTGCTTTTTTTTTGTTTGTTTACAACAGAAGTATTTGCAACAGAACTCAAAACTTTACTGCGTAAGCAAGGACCAATTATTACTCTAGTTACTCACATTATACTCTTAGAGATTATGAATATTTAAATAGAAATATTTCTTAAAACTGCGTACCTCCTTCAGATACCAATGACCCTGCTAAAATGCAGTATGCCTGTATGGAAAAAAAAAAAAAAAATCTCAATTATTATGTTATATGCATATTTGTACAGATCTCTTCACCACAGACTATTCAAACTCAGAATTCCAGAACCCCATTACCCACTATGCCCTGCAGCTACCCCTAAACAGAAGGCAACAGCATTTTAATTATGCAATATATTGCAAAATAGGAAAGAAGTACCTCTTGGGAGGTGTGAAGGGAAGATGCAGGGTTTAAAGAATAGCTCATTTTGTTATAAGATCAGCTATAATTTAACATGATTTTTTTCTTAAAACACATTTGCATTAATGATGGTTTGAGTTAATTGTGATAGGATTCCAACTGACTAAGGAAGTGAATTTCAGATCATGCCATTACTTTCTATTACGTCACCAGTGTTAGATACAGTATCAAACAAGATCAGCTTACCCAGAGAAGAGATTCTATAGGATGAGGGTGGAGCAAACCTATGATCCCATGATACCAAGAAAGTCCTGCACCCATCATGAAAATGCCCACCCCACTAATCAGGGAGGCAATATAGCGCATGTTTGTGAAACCATACCTAGATGAAAACAAAGAAAGTGATTTAGGAAAATAAGATTCTATATCTCTGCAAACATACCTACAAGTTTTTTTCCATTAATTTTTACATGTCGCACATCATCATCATATGACTGGGCATCTATTTAAAACAAAGCTGCTAAATCAAATCTAATCCAAGGGGGGAAAAAAAGAGCCACCTGGAAAAGGCTAGGTAGTACACACAAGAACATCATGCATAGATATTTTTCTAATTCATTTTTAAACAAGCTACATACATAGCTGTATGAGCTCTTCTGCAGAGACTGAGGATTTTACTACTGTAAAAAAATTCATGTCACTTACATGTTATTAAAATACTACTTCTAAATGAAAACACTAGTCATAGGCAGCTGGTCTACACATTCTATAATGCTAATTTAAAGGGAATAAAATTTGTGACATCTTTAAGTAGTTCAGCACTGCAGACATTCAACACTTGCAGTTTTTAAGAGCAATGGGAAGAGCTAAAGCAATATTAAAAGGTTACATTTATTCCTTTTTTTGTTATTAACTGCTACTACAAATAGTACACTTCTTTTTCAACATTTAAAAACCAATAGTAAAAAAGACTATATAGAGGAAGAAGGGGAAAAAAGTGAGGGGGGGGAAAGAGATACAACAAATATTTAGTCAAATTTTAGATTATAACATTTTTCAAGTTACCTGATGCTTGTGTAGGCCCCATCCCTGGAAGTGTTTAAGACCAGGTTAGATGAGGCTTTGGGCAACCTGGTCTAGTGGAGGGTGTCCCTGTCCATGGCAGGGGGGTTGGAACTAGATGATCTTTGAGGTGCCTTCCAACCCAAACCATTCTATGATTCTATGTTCTTAATGAAGAAAAGCTTAACTAATTCTGTAAATTAGATGTACTTTGAACTAGTGCTTACATTATGACTTGCCCAAATATATGAAGTGTAAAGCAAATCAACACCAAGAAAATAACATGTTAAGTGTAACTTCTAAATTTCATGGAGTTGAAAGAACTTATCAATAATATCCCTATTACTCAGGTAAAAACAAAGAGTAGTTTAAGTCAAATACAACTCCTTATGATGCAAGTAGGTGCCTTGCAGAAAAGCACTGTTGAAAATATGAAGAGGACAGTACTTTTTATATTTAAAAAATGTTGTCATTCACATGAGCGGTGTTTAAAAACAAAGTAAATCTATCCAGTAGAAGAGGTAAAAGAGTCCAGACTAACTTAAAGAAATAACACCAATTAAAATAATACACATCAAAAAGCATACCACAAAAAAAAAATCATCACATATAACATGCATCAAGCCACTGAAGCTAAAACTCCTGCAGTTTAGAAGAAATCTCACTTCTTATTTTATCTATTGTAAAATCAGAAACAATGCATTTCAGAAAGGATACAAAACAGCAGATTAAAAAGAACAAGGTGACGCACAAACAAGAACTGATCTTACTCCTATATATAATTACCAAAATCATTATTTACTCAAAAAGCTTACGGATGACTAGGGTCAGGCGTTCTTGCAGACTGACTGATGCCCAAAGCCAGCAATGCCTATTTAGGACAAAAGGAAAAAACCTTTGTTAAAAATAAATATTTAGAAACATGTTATATGAACTGAATTTGAACAATAAAGGCAGATGCAATTTGCTCATCTGCACATATGCTTTGTTACTGATATTCTATTAGAGCTGGGATACAATCCTCAAAATCTGTCATCTAAATCTACCACTCAAAAAAATTGTTAATTATACCTATA